AAATACTAAAAATTGCATTAACTGAGGTAATTTATTCAAATTAATCTTTTTTTTTTTTACAAATTTACGTCTTTTTTTTATTGTTTTCTTTTTTCCTCTTCTTTCTTTCATTTTGAAAATTTCATTATGATTGTTGTGTAATATTATTTTGTTTTTTTTTTATTTTGTTTTTAAATGTTTTTAAAAGCAAAAAGAAAATTTTTTTCCAGATTATATCAACAAATCGTTATTCAACAGAGCATGGAATAATTTTGGATATTAAAATCGGTAATCAATATAGGAATAAAAATATAACTATACATACTGAACAGGTAAATATATTAAATACAAATATATATATTAAATTATTGAAGTATTACAAATTTATATATGACATTTTAATAAGTTTATATTTATAATTAAGTAGGAATTAGGCATAAATATTGTTCAATTAGCCTATCTAAATTTCAAAATTTACGTTCCAAATTCACTGTCTTTTTCTCTTTGTTTTCATTCAATTTATTTGAGTAATTTTTAAAAATCTCCTACCAATTCAATATTATTTTTCTTTTGTATCAAAATCTTATAAATGAATTTGAAAGATGTATTACAAAAAATTTTTTTAAATTTTATTTCAGGGTATTGAAATTTCACGTCTTTTGGGACAATACATTTATGTGGACAGTGAAAATCGTGCATTTATCACAGGTATCGAGCAAACGAAATTGACTTGTGACTAATTATTTTTATTTTTCTCTCCTTATTACCTTTTGTGAATTATTTTAAGAGAATCTTTTTTTTTTTTTTTTTTTTTGTTAAATCATGTTAAATCATTTTTGTTAAATCATATTTTTTAAGCACATAACTGATATAATTAATTAATTTCATATGAAAATGCACAATGGTAACATATCTATTATTGACTGATATAAAAATATAAATTGATAAATGAATTTAAATTGTTTAAAATTCCTTGTTGCAAATTAATTTTATATCACTTATTGCTAGTAGTTTTTTTCTCTTATCTTTTTTATTTTTATTTTGTATAACTTTCTATAATATTACGTTTTTTTCTTTTTTTTTTGTATTAATTGACATTTTAAGCTCAGTGTTTTTTTTTTTTTTTTTTTTTTTTTTGGGAAAGCATTTTTTCATTTTTAATTTATTAATTTTACATATACATCTATGAAATGCTGCAAATTTATACATGTGTGTATAAATTTTATGAATAAGGAAATTTGACTCTTTTTTTTAATGAAGTTTAATTGTTTGAAATTATGTGATAGAATGAAGAAACTTTTTTTATTCCCTTTTCCACTCATATTTTTCCTTTTTCACATTTCTTTTAAAATATGAAAAAGTGAACAATATTGTTTGTCTAATTATTTTTACCCATATTTTAATATATATTTCTTTTTCTATCTTTATTTATAATTTTACTTGCATGCATAGCAAAAAATGTTTGCAATCTGTGATACAATTATATGTTACTGTTAGATTAAGTAATGAAAAAAATAAAAAAAGTAAAATCTAATAACGAAAATAAAACATTCAAATAAAAGTTCACAATAAAATGGAACAATTTTAAAAATGGGTAATTTGGTTGATGGCAAAAGAATAAAAGAAAAAAAAAAAAAAAACTTGTAGCATGAATTGTTGTGCACCATCAATTAATTAATTAATTAATCACTCTAATATTTTATAATTTTATTAAAATAAAAAAAGAAAGAAAAGAAAAATAAATGATATTCCATGCATTTACTGGTGCAATTTATATTGAATATGCCCAAAGTTAATGTATGATTTAATTAATCAGCTTAATATTTACATATTTTCTAATCTATCAACCAACTATTTATCAATATAATTCATTCGTCTGATTGATCACATTACTATCATTTTTATTAATAAATTAATAATTTATTCTTAATTCTGTTTTTGTTTCGAAATAATTTAATACTTAATAAAAGCAGTGGCGATAATCTCGCACAACAACATTTGCAGATTATTCCTGAATTACTGATCAAAACATTCTTATAACCTTTTTTTTTTAACTTCATTATTATTAATTTACTATTATTAAATAATTAATTACTATTATAATCACTTCACTTTATTATTATTATTATGTAAGTAATCTTTTAAAATAAAAAATAGAAATTACAAAGCTGAAACAAAGAACTGTTTATTTGCTTCCTTTTTTACTATAATTACTTCGTGAGTAGAATAGTCAACAAACAACAACAACAACAACAAACAACAAACAACAACAACAACAATGATAATAAATAGTAATGGTAATAATAATGATAGTAAATAGTAAACAGATAAGATAATTATAATTAGTATCAACAATGGTAACAACAGCAGTAGTATAATTAGAAATGCTCGATCAGAGATGGAAGAGAGACATTGACATATTCACATCCATCCATATTTATTATCTGCAATGCATATAATATATTTTAGAGAGAGAGAGAGAGAGGGAGAGAGAGAGAGAGAGAGAGGGAGAGGGAGGGAGGGAGGGAGGTAATGGTTGGTGATTTAATAAATCAACTTGTGGACATCTTCACTTTGGGACATTCATCCATCCCATCTCTTATTCATTTATCGTCTCCTTGAACACTCTTCCACTCCATATGGTTGTTAGCTTTCTTTCGATACAAATGTATATGAAAGGATGAAAAGAGAGAGAGAGAGAGAGAGAGGGACAGGAAAAGAAAAAGGAGGGAGAAATTGCGTTTGCAATGCAGTTGCAAACGTAGCACGCACACACACGCATACACACGCATATACACACACACACACACATATACATACATATGTGCACACACACACACACACACATACATACATACATATGTGCACACACACACACACACACACACGCATACATTGATGCACAATTTCTCATTCTGTTTCGATTTACTCAATTTGGTGGGGTTAATACAGCTCTCATTAATTACCGTCGTTATTGTTATAACTATTATTATTTTTATCTTTGTTTTTATTATTTTCATTATTACTATTATTATTATTAGCTATTGTTATTATTTTTATTAATTATTATTATTTTTATTAATTATTATTATTGTTATTTTATTATTATTATAAGTGTCACTACTATTGTTATTATTATTATTATTATTAATATTATTATGAACTGCTATTCTTTTGTTAATATTACTTTGTTATTCCTAATATTGTTATCATCGCTGTTACTGCACTGATAATATTATCATTGTTATCATTATCAGAATGTGCTATCACATCTCATTGTCCTTTTTTTATTAGTAAATAGAATTATCTCAAATATTTGGTTTTAAATTATTGCAATGGATATAATCAATTGAAATAATCCCTAAAATTAGCATAATTAGTTATAAATAAAGACGAACGCAGTTCTCTGTTTTGCTTTTTTCTTTCTGATTTTCACATAGTAAATGGAAAAATATTCTATACAGACAAAAAAAAAGTGTAATGATTTAATTTAATTTAACCTACTATAAATTTTAATTTACATATAATTTTTCTAACATTTTTTTGCAGCAACAAATAATATATATGACATTTAATTTTATTCAGTATTTATGTATTTTGTAATATAAGCATAAAAGGAAGAAAAAATTTTTCTTCTTTTTCTAAAAATTATTATTATATTGCTATTTTCTTCTCTTCTTTTCCCTCATTCCCTTTTTGTTCTTTTTTCTTTTGATTTTCTCTTCTTCCACTTTTTTTCTGTTCCATATATTGATAGCTTAAAGAAAATAGCAAACCGAAAAAAGAAGAAAGAAAAAAGAAATGATATGGCAATAAATTTTTCAAAATAAAGTGAAAGGGTGTAAGCTAAAAAGAGAGAAAGGTTTTTTTTTTTTTTTTTTTCTTTTTTAGCATTTTTAATTATACAATTCAAGAATTCGCGGGAATTATTATACTATTATTTCTGTACGAAAATTTCATTTCTTTATTAAATTCAATTAATTTTGATGAAAATAAGAAGAAAAAAACAGAAAGAATACTTATTAAAATGGATGCAACCACGAATTTATCATCTCTTCAGAATTTCAAGATGTTCTGAGACGATGAACGTTTCGCATTGATACACGCTGTTAAATCTGATCTCATTCATATTGGGAATTGTTCCTTTTTTTTTTTTTAAATATTCAATTTTCTTAATTTTTGGGTTTTTTTTTAGTTGTCACTTTCAACTGTAACGTTTCATTATTAAATGTCAACTATTACATAATAATTATGTCTCTTTTTTTCTTTGGTTTTGTTTTGTTTTGTTTTTTCTTTCTTGAGTTAACAATATTAACTCATAATTGTGGTAAAATTGCTAATGGTTTTTAGTAGTAATTATATTTATATAAATTGAAGACTTTTTATTATACGTACGTGCGTACTGAAATTCATATCCGTGCATAAGTGAGGTAGAAATAGTTTCTTACGATAAGGAAATAATTATAATGTAAATAAGAGAAGTACTGTTTGTTACATAATGTTGTAAATAGAAAAGTAAATATATATGTATGTTTTTTTTTTCTCCGGAAACTAAAATAATTTAAGTCCCAAGAAAAAAAAAAATTGCACGCGAATGCAAGGATTTTTTTTTTCGAAATCTAAATTATAAATGTCTAATAAATTGTACGTTAAAAGTTTTTAATATAAATAAAGAAAGGAAATATGCAAACAATCTAATGTAATTATTACACATAAATAAACTATTGCGTTTAGTAAGCGACATTTTCAGTTAAATGTGTAACTTTTCATCATCTATTGATTCACATCATTTAGTAATTAATATAGATTATTATTTCCAAAATAACTTAATTTTTTGTTTTTTTTTTTTCCTGTTTTTTTTTTTTTTTTTTTTTTTTTTTTACTCCAATTTTTTTTTTTTCAGTTTCAAATTGTGCTAAAATCTAACCCTTAAATACGGCACGCCTAATTTATTTTGCTAATGAAACGTATTCGTTCATAAATTATTTGAAAATTAAATTATATATTGGCATTTAAAACTAATGGCCACCGCTACAACAGCATTGGTACGTGCAACGGGTAATACTGGTGGTGCAATGATGATGATGCCAACGGGTACTGCTATTGCTATGGTTAGTAAATTGTTTATTTATAATTTCTTTCTTCAAATTTTTGAAATTTCAATAAATTCCAAGAAGATCCAAACAACTGTTAAATTATCGTAATCACAATTTAAACTTTTTCATAGGTTTATCTTTCTTTTTTTCTGTCGCGTTTTCTCTCTCTCTCTCTCTCTTTTTTTTCTTCCTATGTTGATATCGCAATCTCTTATCTATTGTGCTAATTGCAAAATCATCGACGAACATTTTAGCCAATTTGGATAGATTAAAAATGGGATGATTATCTAACAGCTGATGCTATAATTATTTCTTTTGAGAAAGGGATAAAAGAGACAAGTTTCACCGTTCTTTTTGTTACATTACGAATATTACCAATGCGATATTATGAAAGGATGCATTGTAATACGATATATTGAAAATTATTAAACGTAAATTCCCAAATGACGTATGAACTGAAATGACGTCAAACATATGGTGTATAATTATGATAACGTTAATGTAAGCTATCTTAAAAATTCACTTCGTTGGTTAATTAGGTTGCACTAAGGAGGAAGAAGATGAGTCCTGGCAAGTGCAATTTGCGGATAGCTTGTTGCTGTTGTTGCTGCTGTTTAATGATTAACTTAACAACTGATCAATTTTCATGCTTCAAATTTTATTGATTCTATTGATCAGTAAGAAGAGAATGAGAACTAGTAAGATACGTGATTAAATTGACATTTACAATTATGGATTTTAGTTAGGAAAACATTTCGGAAAAGTGAAAGTTGCTAAATATGTTCAGTGTTAACCTTTTAGTTGGTGATCAATTTTTGATTTATGCTTATGATAGCAGGAAATTAAGGATAATATATTTGTAAAGGAATATAAGAAGTTATTTTAGCTCATTTTAACCTATTAAAAATTAGAAGTTGATAAAGAAGATGTATTTCAAATAAGAGTAAAACGTCTGGATGAATGGAAAAATGGCTCTATTACTATAGCAACCAAGCGAACGAAGTTTATTTTTGTGCATATATATATCTATATTTTATTTGAAAGCACATATTTGAACTAACGTTAGCTTTTTTTTTTATAGAGTTTTTATAGAGTTGGCGCACTTTTCGTTTACCATTCATTATCTTTTAATTTATGTTGTCCGAACCATTTAATAACATTATTATTTGACCAGTTATTACCACCATTTATAATTTTTATAGGCTTTAGCACAATTAGTTTAACGTCATAATGAAATGATATTTGGATGTTTTTCTTCTTTTTTTTTTGAGAAAAAAAAAATAAGATAAAACAATAACACTTATCAATTAGAATCTATTCATATCTATTGGCACTTTTCTTATATGAAAATATTTGTAGACTTATTTAGTGGATGTTAAGAGGATAAATGTGACAATTGTCATTTCTTTCTTTTATTGTAATATCTGGAACTGGAAAATCTAGTAAGCCTGAATGAGATCACAATCAACATTGAAAGAGTTGTAAATTAACATTTTTTTATTCCAAATTTTGTTAAAATTTTGTTAATTTTATAGGGTTGTACAGTCCAGCCATCGCAAGTATCATTGTATCCATCTCAACAAAGTGCATATTCAACTTATCCATCACAAGTTGCCATTGGAGTGTCATCTACTAACAACCGTTTACTTTCGAATAATTCCTGTGGTAATTTTTCTTCGTTTTACTTTATTAGTTATGTCAGCACTATTAAAAATGTTCTGAAAAACCATGACATGACTCTAAATTTTGAGGCAGATTTGTGAATACGTTTAGGAGTTTATTATGTTTTCTGTATTTTATGTATTTGTTCCTCAATTTTGCTAGCCGTACTTTTTTACTAAATTATAGATGCAACATCTGCAAATTTCTTTCCCCAACAACCACAACAAAGCTATACATTACAACGGTCATTTTATCAAAATTTAACACCGGAACCACCATCAACAACAAATAATAACATTATGCCTCAAAATATGAATTGTGAAGCTATTGGTTCGATACCATCAGTAACAATGTCTAATGACAGCTTGACAGCATCAGTTTTAACTGATTTGGGTAAGGATATGGTACATCTGTTTTCCTCAATTTTGCTGATTTACTAAAGCAGGTGTATTGCATGATAAAGTTAATTTTCATAATATATTGACAATGCTACATATTTCCTAAGGGAACTTTCTCGTTTTTATGATAGAGAATTGATCCTTTGTAACGATATTTATCATTAATCACTTATTGATATTTAAATTCGAATATAGTCCATATTAGATTTTCCTATTTTTTTTTATATACGAATTGGAGGGGTTAGCCACTACCGTCCTGGTTGATTAACATTACTACAATTAATATTGCGAGTGCTGTTGAATTTCTTACTAAAAATATAAATTGCATTTTGTGCTTGTGTTATATACTGCTGAAAGCTTAATTCATGTTGTTAATTAAGCATGTTATTGTTTTGAAGGTTCTCAATCATTATCAGTTCGACGACCTTCTAGTTGTAGTAGTCGGAGTCGACCATCATCGTCATCCTCCTCTGCTACGAATATACAAATACCGATTACAAGCACTACAGTTACTGTTACAAGTGCTGCTGGATCTGTTACTACAAATATGAATGGTTTAGTTACAAACAATACCGCTACATCTGTTTGTGCCTCTAAAAATGCTGGTTAGTTTTCTGTTTATTTATCGGATTAGATTGTCATAAATTTATATATGCTAAATTGTTTTTCACATCACTTTTTTGAACGAAAGATAAGAATGAACTGCATGAATGGTAGCACAATTGGATATATGCCGGATTCAGTGAGATTTTAGTAGACAATTAACTTATCAAGAAAGGCTTTATAACAACTGAAACAGTGATAAAATGTAGGTGATTAGGAAAAAATTTTTTCTAGATATCTTAGTAATCCGTGATCCATTCGAAGAGGAAGAATTATGCAGTACACGCTGTAATACCACAACTACCCAAATGATGTTCAATCAACGACCACCGCAGTATATCAACACTGGAAACCCGTTAGATTCTGGAGGACAGCTAGAGTTACCTCGGTCAGAACTATTCGTGGATTAATTTTTTGCATTATTCATTCTTACCTTTCTTAACATGTCAGCGGAGATAGAAAGAGAAAAGAATATTTTGTGAATAAATAGAAACCTTTTAGAGTGATTTTAATGGTTTGAAAGTTTGCTAAAGCATATTTGTGTTTAAATATTTTTTTACAGGCATCTTCGTGTCCCGTATCCTGAATCAGCATATCGAGCATGTATTGCAGCGAATAAGAATTTGGCCACCTATCGTAACGGAGCACCGTTACCATCATTCATGCCACCTTATCCAGCGCTTTCTGGACCAAGATCTGGTTCCGTTTTTGCTCCCAATGTTGTTGCAATGGAAAATTCGGTGGTTTATGGGAATCCACAACAGCAAAGACAGCAGCAGCAACAACAAATTCCTGGAAATGGTGCAGCTTTTGGGATGTTACGAAATAATAGAGTTCAAGGAAATGCTTCACCAGGTATATTCGTATCCCTTTATTTATAAAAATTATTGACATAATTCCATCATCTCTTTATGGCTTTTATTCCCAATAAGAATATAATTTGATGACCATTCATCTAGTTTTGGCATTAATTGGTATTTTCAGGTTGTCCACCGTTGTCAATGGGTAATGCACCAATTCCAACCCAAGGTTTTGGAAATCCATATTGTATTCAAGGACCACCAACGCAACAAATGTTAGGACCACCGGGTAATCATTATATTCCTAACATAGAAAATTGATAGATTGCTTACATATGGTGGATTATTTTGTTCTGCAATTACTGAATTATATATATATATATATGTAATGAAATTTTACTCTTGCACAGGGTCTTTAAAAATTTCTCTTCTAAAACTTTTGAAATCTAGTTTTCGTCATTCCCGATATTACAAGTACCGATACCTTTTTTGATTATAAGAAAAAGATCGGGCGTAATATTCTCATATTTCATTTAGTTTCAATATTTCAAACCTGTTTGTTTTCCTTCAAAAATTAGGGAATACTATACAGCATTTATAAAAAGTATTTATACTTCTTCTATATAACGTCATTTCTGAAGCCGTTTATGAAACTTTTTTTATTCATCTTATATCGCTTTAAGCATGGATTTTAAACATATATGTCCAATCATATGTGAACAAAATTGCAAGTGCTACTTCAAAAACATGCATATGCAAGAAATCAAAAGCATTCTAAAATATTTCCTTATGATCATTAATTATATGTGAAAAATATTTCGTGCAGCCACTTGGGAGAAATCACATGTTTCAAGCTTCACTATATTCGGGTCAAATCCTTTCATGTTTTTCTACTTTAGTTTTGTCTTTAATCCTCCTAATTAAAGTAACGTGCTATATGAAAAATTAAACCAAGGCATAAGAGTTTTGTAATTCTAAATGATTCGTAAATTTGGTTATATATATATATTAGAGATGAAAATAAACTTTGAATATTTTTAATTTAAATATTTTTTAACGATGGTTATTCCTCAAAAATATAAGCTTTGTAATATTTGCAACAAATTCGGTGTTTATTACTCGTATCAATTATTGTAACATTTACAATTAATTGATCAGTAATTAAAGAAGTGATATGTACATATAACCAATCGATTTTATCATTATTTTGCAGGTTGTATGCAGCGTCCTGAATACCTACCAGCTGTATCAGGTCCATACTGCATACCGGGAGGTGCTCCTGGTCAACCTTATTTTGGGGGACAACCAGTTGCAAGACCTGAACCTGGAACTTCTAGTATGATGCCTTTGAATACTGGTGCACAAATGAATCCCATGGGAATGGTGAACATGAATGGTGAAAGAATGGGACCTGTTATGGGTGTTATTGGTATGAATCAGCAACAAAATGTTGGTGCCACAGTAGGAAAGAAAGGAAATAATAAAAGGTATATTAGTTTGTTGTTTTTTAAGTCAAAGAGAAACAACTAAATAAGTATTTTTGAATATTTTGCACCATTCACATGATTTTCTTTTTTTTCCCTTTTCTGGTAAGCCTTAACGAAATGACTTATTGACTCTATTTGCAGATCCAAAGCTAACAAAGCAGCTGCATCAATACCAAATCTTGCCATCACAGATGAACAGCATTTAGCCGCAAGGCGGAAACAGCAATCGTTGTTAGCATCTGGACAGCAACAACAGCAACCAGTAGTGCCTGGAATGATGTTACCCATGTCAGTTCCATCACAGGATTTTTATTTGTTGCAGAATATTTGTGGTAATCGTGGTGGCATGCCACCACTACCACAGCAGCAAGCAATGGTACCATTGACACCTGCTAATGGAACTGCTGGAGGAGTTGGATTAGGACAGTTTGATCATTTTGATGGTTCGTCAAGTTTTTCTGTCTGATCTTTAAAGTTATTAGTAAGATCACAATTATTTAATATTCGAGATGTTACACCTCTTGTAAAATATCACTGATTCCAGCCAAATGATCTAACCATTTGAATGTCTGCGAAATATGAATCATATATTTAAGTAATGATGAAAATGCCCAAAAATTCGGGTTACTATCCGGTTTAAGAGTTAACTATTTGTAGTTCGACCTTCAACAAGTATGAGTTGTACATCAATGTCGTACTGCTCTCCAATGGCATCAGCACCAAGTGTAACAGGTGAATTATTAACTGATTTTACATTCCTATCAGTCTGAACTAATTATTATGTTTAAACTTAAATGCATTTGCCTCACCATTTCTAGATACTCCACCTCAACAGCAATCAACTTCTCAAATGATCGCAAATTCGATGATGATGACAAGAAGTTATGGTGGTTTCGAACAAAACGGTTTTGTTGATGGCTTCCAGGTCTATTAGTAGTCACATTTTTTGTTTGTTTTATTCAAAAATTTATCGAGTTCGGAGCAAATTTTGATTTTTAAATTAGCGTGATAACAGCGATAAAGTAGCATTACAAGGTAGCCTAACAAGCACTTTTTTTTTCTGAAAATATTCTGTTCTAATTTGTTCACGTAATTCAAATTTGATAACGAAAGTCTTCAGTGGAAATGCCCCATTCAGCTAGGTTTCTCTTTTCTTATTGGATCAACCAGAATCATTGTTTCGGGACTTCTAGATGTTCAGGATTTTTAAGAGGGTGGGTTAATAAAGATGCTTAAAGCTACAGATTTGGATGAATTGCAATTTTGTTTTCAATTAGAAATTTTGAGCTAATATTTATGGAAGGAAATCCGGATTCTGGTCCAGTAGCAGCAACATCCGACTTAACAATGTTTGTGTAACAGTAACTGTCCGTAAGGCTCATCTGTGTATGGTATAAGAAACTACTGAATGTGTGATATTTTAATGTGTCTTTATTTTTATTAACAAAAGTGATAACTTATCATATCAAGGTTGAAAATTTTCTCTGATCACATTCTACTTGAAATAACGTTATTTTCAGTCTCAACGGAACAATAGTAACGGTAGTGATACTATTTGCAATAATATGACAACCAATAGTGCTATCACAACCAGTGCTAGCGGTGATTCGTTTACTGTACTAAATGGTTCTTCGAGTGGTCAGAACACAAGTACCGGTAACAGACAACGTTGTGTAAGCTGTACAGAAGAACTACGGGTAAATTTTAGTATTGTTTATTATTAGTCTTAACTTTTTTTCTCAAATTCAATTATATTGTTTTATTGGGGTATATGCTGAAAAATGGATGATTCAAAAATTTTTTAAAATATCTTCAATTTCTGTTCTACTAAATTGTCATTACGATTTCTAATAATTTTATAGAGTGATCAGCTCAGTATTCAATGCACAGCAAATGGTGAAGGTTGTCGGCGTTTCTTTCATCAGGTAAGGTTTTTGTCAAAGTCAGTTTTCCAATCTATATATATTTTTTTTAACTGTAAAATCTGTTCTATCTTTCGCTCTATTTTATCCATTTTCATCTCTCTTCATTCAGTTACCTTATTAGAAATAATGCAAAGAATTTGTTGTTATTTAGTTTATCAAATATTGCTTTTTTTTCGCTTTAGGAATGTAGCGGATTATTATTGGATGCATTCCGTGCTATCATTGCAGAACCATGTGCAGAATGGATTTGTCCGGATTGTTTATGCCGTCAGCAGACGCAACTTACATTTGCTTAGATGCTTAGATATTCAGTTATCTTTTTTGCGTTTTTTATTTATTCTTATTGTTTTCACAATTGATATTGTATTATCATATTTTTGGTACTTCCTATATGTCTCCATATTTATTATATCATTATATACATTTGTATACATGTTGAATGTTTGAATTTATCATTATTATATATGTAGTAGGTTAAAAACTATTGGGTGTATATCCATTAAATATTTGAATGTATTATTGCATATGTTCAATATTTTATGATTGTTTGTTTTGTTGTGTCAGCAATATATTTAGTGTATCTTTAGGTTCCAAGTATGTTCACATATGTTTGAATATGGGTTTTTGTATACTCGTATATTTTAATACCTTTATATTCTTATATATTTATATTTATCATCTTATGATTCTTTCAGTTAATTTTGTATCTATTATTGTGAAATGAGATGAATTAGGCGTGGACATTTTTACGGTCTCATTACTAGAAAACAAAAAATTTAGCTTTTGATAATTTTGAATTATTTATTTTGTATTGTAATGATTGTCTTTTTATTAAGAACATATATTTGCCATACGTATGGTGCTTTAATATGGCGCATCCTAATTGCTTAGCATATAGTCTTTTTCAATAGACTTATAAATAGGATTTATTAGAATTGAAATAATTTTGAAAAATTATCATTACGCGAATCGTTTATAATCTGAATGTTGTTATGTTTGAAATGTTTAAATTTCTTGTTTGGAGTAATTCTCAAAACCATCATTAATGTTTCTAAAGTGAAATCAGATTTAACAACATTCTCAGTTCTTTATTTCCTTTTATTTTTAATTATTATATTTATTCCATCTATCCTTGTCATTCATTCGATAATCACTCCCAACTTTCAATTAGTCATTTAGAAGGTTGCATTTCTAAATGATACCAAACTATTCATTTTCATTCATTATTCTGCAATAATAATAGTAAGAATAACAATACTAATAATTCGACATATTAATTTAATTTGTATATTTGATGAATGTTGACGAAAATAATACTGGTGGCAATGATGAACATCACGCATGTTATATTTCGCCTTTCCTTTCAAACGGTTCTTTCATAGATTTTTTTTTCTTCCGTTGTATCCGTAATTTAAATTAAAAAGTTTAAATTATAGGCTTTCATTTAAAACGAACATCGATATAATCTGAATATTGTGTCTGTATTTGATATATATGATAAAAGAATATATCTATCCATCTCGATTTCATCGTTTTTTTTTTTTTGCTTTAGATGTATAAATTTATATTGGTTGCCTACATATAATTTATCAATTTAGTAAAACTATAATAAGAAAACGAAAATTGTTATTGAAATACTAGCAGTCATATTTGATGGAAATTACTTTACTTGCAATCAAAGGAAGAAGTAATTATGAGTTTTTAGCTTGTAGTTAAAATCAGATATTTCTTCACATTTAATCAATTAATTAATTACTTGACAATATTTTGTTCAATTTTAATCCTTTCACTTTCACAATCAGTAGCATTTGAAAAAGTGAAGAGCAAGTATGACCAATGTCTCTCAATCAATATTCAATGTTAATTAAGGAATGTTTCGCATTTTTGGCTATAGTTTTGCTCTATTCGTTAAAATTTTAAAAATTTGGTAACGTTAAAGATGAGTGATAAGTTAAGAGATGAAATGTTATGGCTAACTTCCAATTTTATTTCAACTTTCACATTAAAATTTGAACAGAAATGAAATGGTGCAATTAATGGACTCTAATTTGTTGCATAATTTATTGAATGGAAATAGTGTTAAAGAAATAAAAAATTGAATGGAAGTAGAATGAAACAAGAAAAATGAAAAAGTTGCAATTTCCATTTTCTTTCCGTCATTGTTTTCCTCTTTCCTTCCCTCTCTCTCTCTCTCTCTCTCTCTCTCTCCCTCGTTTATCTGTTAATCAACCATATATTGTGAATAAATTCAATTATCAGCAAAAAATGAAGCAAACGACGATTTCAGCGAATATTTTAAATTATTGCATAAATGATAAAATGATAGAGTAAAAGGGAAAAAAGAAAAGAAAAAACGAATAAATTGAATTTATTCAGAAAATTTCATTAACATTTAAACATTAATGCATTCATAAATGTATGGATGTATAGTTAGCAAAATTTTATTTTTCATTTTTTTAATGGTAAAATTAAGAAAAAAAAAAAAAAAAAAAAACAGAAATGTAAAAATAATATTTATTGAAATCTATCAATAAAAAGTAAAAACAATATTTATTCAAATCTATTAGTAAAAAGCAAAAATAATATTTATTCAAATTATTAAGCTTTAACAATACGTAGTCCATATGTAGCACCATATCCTGAAAATATTCTATCCATTTGTATTTATTAATTCAAATATAAAGCAGAAATAAAAGCTATTATTTTTATTTATTATTCATTGTTAATTATTAATATAATTTATTTGTTTATTCAATTAATTAATTCATTAATTACTACTAAATATTTTATTTACACTTGTAAAATAATGAAAAAAAGGAGAAAGAAGAAATGAAACAAATATAATTTATAGATGAAAATGAATGGTTATTATCATCATTTTGCTTTCTTTTTTCTTTTTTTTTTTTTTCTAATTTCCTTTTCTTATATTTTTGTCAAAAATTTTTATCGCTTTCTTTTTTTTTTTGTTATATTTATTAAATATATTCCCAATGTGATAACTATATCTATCTATTAAGGAGTATATATTATCTAGTAATATTTTCAAACATGTATACTTATTGCCAATATTTATGCAATAATTTAATTAAAATATATATTTTCATAATGATTTAATTAAAATTACATATGAATAATAATTACATACCATGAGTTGTACCACTAACAACAACCAACAAATCACCATCATGTATAATATCTTGCTCTTTACCGCATTTTACAGCATAATGAATACGATCATATAAATCTTCTCTCCAATCCATATTTATTGCTAAATTTGTTGATTATTTCACATTAAGTTTTATTAAATTAAAACTTGTTTGTTCTTTTATTTTTTAAATTTTGATTTGATAAAAAATAGAACTTGTGTTTAGTTTTTTTATTTTAACATAACAATAGTATAATAAGCTTATCATCTATGATTAATTTCATTATTTTTTAAAATTTCAAAATTTTTGTTTAAAAATTTGAATTTTTTGAAAACATTAAAAGTGAAAAGGAAATTTTTATGATTTGAAAAAAAAAAATTTGATTTTAATAATTTTGAAATGAACCTTTAAAATATAATGGATAAATGCTACGCCATAAATGAAGTTGTCGTGTGATAGCACGATTTGTACATACAGCATAAATCGGTACAGGTGGTCGATATCGTGAAACTAGAGTTGCTGCTCTGAAATGAAGCATTACTAAATTAATAATAATTTATTTATTATTTATTATGAAATAGTTTATTTCATTTTTTTTTCTTTTAAATTTTAACAAATTTTAATTTCAACTACAATTAAAATTATTTTATTTTTCACTTTTTTTTTTTTTGATAAAATTATTTTTTAAGCAAAAAAAAAAAAAGTATTGCAGATAATTATGCAAATTCATAAATAATTAATATGCATTATATTCTTAAGTGATTTGCTCAAGTCAGTCAAAAAATTGATTCGTTAAATGATTGATTGAATTAAAATAAGCAATATTATAATTAACTGATTAAATCATTATTTCTAATCACATAATCAAACTATTACTTAACCTTCCGCTAACAGTAATACAAATGACAGCTACAGCTTGACATGATTGCACTGCTGAATTTGCAGCAATTGCAATAGTATGAGCGTGATCAGTTGGTTTTGGCGTTAAACGTATTAGCTCCTCTGATGTTTTCGTATAAAAAATTGCCATTTCTGCTTGTTTACAAAGCTATAATTTAAAAATTTGATTAATTATTATTAGCATTAGTGACATATGTGATATGATATGATATGATATGATATGATATGTGTAATAGTGATATGTGCAGTAATAATTTACACACATATATATTTAATGCAAAATTCAATTATATAAATTTGAAAATGAAAATTTCAAAAAGAAAACTGAAAAGAATTAAAAATAAAAAAAAAAAAAAAACCTGATGCATTGTTCGTAATGCTTCAATTGGATATTTTCCTTTAGCTGTTTCACCGCTTAACATTACACAATCAGCACCATCCAAAACAGCATTTGCTACATCACTGCCTAAAAATAAACTTTATATTTTATCACCATATCATATCATCCAATTTTATATACAGAACTTATCAGTGGTGATAATTAATAATACTTGTTATTAATTTTATACCTAACATAATGAAATTGTATAGAAAAAGAGAAGATATTCAATAAAATGAATTAAAAAAAAAAAAAAAAAAAAACAATTGGCAATTAAAATTTAAATAGCTATTCAAAAAAAAAAAAAAAGTTTCATATCAAAAAATACATACCTTCAGCTCGAGTAGGTCGTGGCTTATAAATCATTGATTCAAGCATTTGTGTAGCGCAAATGACCGGTTTACCAGCTATATTACATTTAGCGGTAAGCATTTTTTGCACAAGAAATACTTTCTCAGGTGGTATTTCAATACCTAAATCACCGCGTGCTACCATTATTCCATCTGCTTCACGAATAATTTCATCAGCGCTAAAAAAAAGTTTGAAATTTTACAACCAAAATTCGAAAGATTTATGTTATTCAACTATTACTTCATTTATTTTTTTGATTTAACAAAGTTTAATTGCAATATTTTAAGTTGAAATTTTGTGAAATTTATTAATATTGCTATATCAAATAAAAAGAGAAACAGAAACAGAAAAATTAATACAAAATAATAAACTATGGAAATAATTCAAAGAATACTAATACTTCATTAATTAAATTAGAATTAAATTGGTATAAATACAAATTATGAAATGGAAATTAGGATAGAATGTTGCAATTATTTTTCAAAAAATAATAAAATTAAAAAAAAAAATTGCAATATTAAATACATTGTGTGATTGATTCAATGGAAAAACTAATTGTATGTCAAGTGTAACTAAACAATTCTCATAATTTAAATTTAATTAATTTATACAGAAAGTTATTGATAAGAAGTTGAATTAAATTAAAATTTTTTTACTTGTCAACTCCTTGTTGATTTTCAATTTTTGCAATAATTTTAATTTGCTTTCCTTTTTCACCGAGAATTTTACGCATTTCGCGAATTCCATTAGCATTTCGAATGAAAGACGCAAAAATAATATCAATATCCTTGAAGAAAAAAAGAGAAAAAATCAATCAAACTATAAAATTGAAGAAAATATTACACAATAAAAAATACTTAATATTAATAATTCATTAAAAATTCTATTTGTATTAAATTTCAAACTATTTCAAAATGTTTTTTAAAATCTAAGAATGAAAATATCAAATTTTCAATATTCTAATTTGGTTCAGGTAAATTCTATGTTAAAATTTATTATTATTGCTATTATTATTATTTTATTACTTTATTGTTATTATCATTGTTTTATTATTCCTAACTTTATTACTATTATTATTAGCAAATCCCTTTTGACCTGATTTATAATATAAATTCATTTTTTTCATCATCAATTATTTGCCATAGCTATTTTATAAACTTCCAACAAACCATTTCAATAGCAAATCGTAAATCTTTACAATCTCTTTCGCTAACAGCCGGAAAATCAACTAATGCACCCGGTAAATTTACACCTTTTTTGCTACCAAGTAATCCGCCATTCTCGATTTTACAATGAATCAATTCATTATCTGCAAAAATATCGCGAGTCAAATATTCGAACAAAAAGTGTTTCATTAAAATAAAATACTTTGCTATTTTTAATTTAATGTTTATTTTTTCTTCGTTTTTTAAAAGATATAAGATTATCTATTGCGACTTTAATTCGAATAAATTTAATAAATGTTTTGATGAAATTTGATAGTGTAATGATATTCATCATCTAACTAATTCAACAATATTCAAAAATTATTTTAATGAATTTAATATTTTAGTAATAGTTATCAGTTGTTTCATTAATATTTTTAAGTATATTTTAAGTATATTAAGTATTTGATAACAGTAATGAAGAAAAAAAATTTTTTTCCATATCATAAAAACAGCTGATTAATTAAATTTATTAAATATTTAAATGAATTTAATACACTAATAATAATAATTATTATTATTTTCATTATTATGCAGGTTGATCCTCAATTATTGTTATATGTAATTCAATAACAATAAAGATTACTTTATTGGATTTTATTGATTGTTGTTTATCAAATATCATTGTTTTTTTACTTGTTTTCATGTTATGAAAGGTGAAACACATATATTTTGTATGATTCTGCGCTTAATTTTAATCAATAAATAATGATTTTAAATATTTCTAAAAAAAATTTAAATAATTTTTCTTAAATAAGCATACATTCCTCAAAAGTTTCGCTACATTTTCCTAAAAGAGTAATAGCAAAATTTATGCTAATTATTGACAAATAAATTGAAAAAACAACTTTTATTGTTACGGTAGAAAAGAAATCAAATGATATTTTTTTCAAACCAATAAAACAATAAAATTTACCAATTCCTCCGACAAGAAGCATTATGAGTCCATCATCAATGTAAATGATAGAACCAGTTTTTATCACGTTGATAATATTTTTGTAATCGATATAAATTATTTTTGAGGAACATTTTGACATAAATGTATCATTCATTGTTACAATCACATCATCACCACTTCGCAGTAACACTTCGTCCTCTTCTCCCTGTGTTTTGTTCATTTCTTCTTTTTTTTTTTTTCACAAAAGATATTCAAATATATAGCACTAATTAATATGATACCTTTCAATATCAAATATATTTTGTTAACAAACATCAGCAAATATTCATAATAATAATAATGGATAATAATAATAATAATAATAATAATAATAATAATAATAATAATAATAATAATAATAATAATAATAATAATAATAATAATAATAATAATAATGGATAATAATAACAATAATAATAATGGATAATAACAGTAATAATAATAATAATGTAATTATTGTTATTGTTATATAATAATAATTATTGTTATTATTTTCATTATTATGCAGGTTGATCTTCGATTGAATTTCCGTAATTATAAGTGAAAATTAATCCTATAATTTTACAATCACTTCGCATTGAAGAAAACAAATTAAAAATGTTGAAAAATTTTGATAAAAAATCCCTATGAAATAATCGATAATCAAAAAAATTATGTTTCAAATGTTATTCTCTTGCATTCTATATACTGTGTCATGTGACGAAAAGTTTGTTGTATGTGACAAATTGCGACATTCTTCTTGGACAGATATGCACTGAAGCTTTCTGAATGATTATTTATGATATGATTACACTTAACAAGTATGATCAGCAAATCTACCCTCAACTATTGTGTTTCAACTAGGCCCTTTTCATAATAATGTCAGTAGTTGATATTAGGACCAGGTCCTTTTCATATCAGCATTTAATATCAGGTCCAGGTCTTCTTCACAATAATGCCCAATCCTATATATAATTGAAACAAGATCTGCACCTAATATCAAATATTATTTGATTTCTCCGCAGTCAAATACCACCAATTCTTCAACAAAAATATTTTGTATGAAAAATATCTCAATGGTTAGCAGAACAGTAGAAAAATATAAAAAATTTCTTTTTAGAAAATAATTAAACATTAAAAGATTGATTAATTTTACAATTAGTTTTTCAAAGCTACTAAAATAAACAGTTCTATATTAGTAAAAAATCTTTAATTGTTATTGTTTCTATTTTAACTAACGATTTTTTCAGTCTTAATTATAATAATCTGAAATTTTCCGGTCCAAATGCGTAATTAATTTCTTTAAACAATTAAAGTAATTGGTTTAACAAATATAAACTATAAACAAACTATCATTAATCATGTTAAATAACATCAAATAATTTCAATTGAACAATATTATTTTGTGATTTTTTCATATGCATTTATTTCCTAAATTCTATAATAAAATGTATCAAATTCAAAACTTAACAAATATTTAAGTTTTAAACTTGAAAATGCTTGAATTATTTGCAAATTTAACAATGCATGATTATTTGACTGAAAAGAAAGTTGTATTGCAATTTTTTGTGTTAAAACAAAAATTATGATAAGGTAATTCAAATTTACCGTTTCGATAATTCCGGTTCTAATTTCTGGTCCTTTGGTATCTAAAGCGATTGCAACATTCGTCATATCATCTTTGCTTCTTAATGCTTCTCTAATATTTTGAATTGTTTGAGCATGGAACTAAAATAATAAAAAATTATCAATTTAGCTTATCAACTTATCATATTTCTCTATATTTGTGTATTCTTTTTTTTTTAATCTTTAATTTAAATCAGATAGAGGAGTCATATAATCTTAGTTTTATTCCATTTGTTGAAGGAAAAATTTTCACACTCAAATATAGAGATTCAAACTAGAGAATTAAAAATTTTCTAGGCTATATGATTGACTATATCTGAATCCCAAATAAATTTTCATTTTCTAAATATAAGATAAGCTTGAAGATTAAAAACTTCTTGAAATATTTTTTAGACTAAAAATTGAACATTAATTAAGCTTTTGTATTTTATGATTATTAAATTTATTGTATTAATAATAAAATGATAATTTCGATAGCACTGTGTCATTTTTATGTATTTGAACGTTTTAAATTTCATTTAAAACTTCATTTGCTAAATTTGATATGAGCAGCTGTTGTGGTTAAGTGCAATTAATAGCAACAAATACCTAAGAAAATTTTTTAAAAGAAGAGAAAAAAAAAGACAAACAAACTAATCAATTGAACAATTAATCAGTATTGAGCTTAAAATTTTTTCAAATAACAAATATTAAATAAACAGAAATATAATAAATTTTTATAAAAACCTCATGACTACCATGACTGAAATTAAGACGAGCAATATTCATTCCATTAGCAATCATTGCTTTTAATTTCTCTACTGTATCACATGCTGGACCTAAAAGTGATCAAATATTTACAAAATATATTATCATAACATATAAATTGTTAAACTAAAATCTGTTTGCTTATTTTTTTTTTTTTTTTCATTAAATTTTAGTTTTATAAAATTAGTTACTAAATTATCATAAGATATTAAATTATATATTTTTTATATAAGTTACTAAATTATCATAAGATATTAAATTATATATATTTTTTATATAAGTTACTAAATTATCATAAGCAAACCAATCGTGCAAATGATCGAAGTTTTGCGATGCAATGTTGGTTGTTGTGATATATTTAAATGACATAAATGTTCTAATTGAGTTGAAATTATCATAGGTATATCACTGAAATGATATTATTGATAATATTTACATTAAAAAAGAAAATGAATAAACAAATAAGATTAATTTTTTTTTTCATTTTATTCTTAATTGAATAATACAATGTGTGCTTTAAGATGCTAATATTCATTAATCGATAGATTATCATTTTATCATTTATTTATTTACTGCAATAAATGAATAAAGAATAGAAATACAGAAAAAAACGATACTAAAAATGAAAATGTAAAAAAAAAAAATTGAATAAAAAGGGAAAAAAATTAAAAAAAAAAAAAGACATACTCATTATTGATACTTTCTAATTTTGCTATCATTATTCGTTTCAATATAAACTTGTTGTAAAGTTCGTACTACAAACAGAATAATTAATAATAAAATTAGTCCAACTTATTCCGTCTAAAATGGAAAATCAATTCAGATTATTCCATCTATTACAGAAAAAAAGACCGATATTTCGAATTATAATAGAGAAATAATCTAACTTTATACCGATTACCACAGAGTACAACTTTATTTCGATTATAATAGAAAATTTAGTCCAATTTAATTTCATCTACAATAAACAAATACTTTAGCATGTTTAGTCTAATGGTAGAGAAGTAGTTAAAGTATCGTCTTTCGTATAGATACGCGGAATATCAAAATATTCCGATTTTGTTTTTCTATTTATCACCCTTACATCCCTTCACTGTTAAATGACCTTTGTTCGTTTCATTCTTTTGTCAATCTGTTACTCTCTTCTTTTACACTTTCTTCGCTTTGTTTATAAAATGAACAATTAGTATTTTTGGCCAAAGAAAAAAGGAAGAAAATTTAACCATAACCATATTTTCAAATAATTCATTTACTACTGTTACAGTGTATTTGTATTTGTATGTATGTATCAATCATTTATTGATAACAATCTGTAAAATTTTTTTTTTTTTTTTTTTTGGATGTAATCAATTTGAACTAATAAAATTAATAAATTTATGATTATTATTGATTGGCGGAAAAAAACTAAATTATAATGAATTATAATATGTGGAAATAAAATTATATATAATCCATAAAATTAACGATACAAATTTTTGAATGTAACCAATTAAGGATTGCATAGTTTAAATATTCCTTTGAACAAATAATGTAAGAAATCATTTATCTAATATTCATTTTCCTTGTAACTGAATTTATTGTTTGTTGACAAAGAATATGTGTAAGAATTTGTCCCCAATTAGATTGTTTACAATTATCAGCTCCTTATTTAATTGACATCTTCTGTTGTTTGTCCATTTCTTACTAGCTGTAAAATGTATTGAAATTTGAACAAGGTTAGCAGTTCTTTGTTTAGCTGACCTACTTTACGGCATATTCACTCTTCCTTATTGTAAAATAATATACCTTGTTATAAATTAATGCTTAAGAAGAAGAAAAAAACCGTGAAAAGGACGAATTTGATCACATTGGTATAAATTTATCATTTTTTTTCCTCTTTTAATTCACAGAACGATTGGTTCATTCTTTATGTGCATTGATTTCACAAATTAATTTATTGAATTTCCTTACTTGATTTGTTGAATTTCTTTCATTGTGATACTTCCAAAGAGTACAAGAATATTCACTTTAAGGATTGCTTTAAGAATCTTCCGTGTGGTAATTTTATTATGATACTTGTTATTTTCTTTTTTTTTTTTTTTAAATTTATTCTATCTCGGCTTATTTTCATACACCGCGGAGTTCTTCTGCTTCGTTGACTAATATAATTTCTTTCTCACCGAATGTTCTTATTAAGACATTTCTTGGAAAAGAGTGTTCTCTTTTAGTTCTCTCTCAAAGAATGATTAAATATTTATTTCTCTATATGTCCCAAAATGTTTGCCAAAAGGCTTTGAGGATATTTGACTAATATTTAATATTTAATATTTTTCTTTTGTACCTCATTTTTGAGCTGAAAATTCTTCCTAATCATTGTTGTTAGCAATTGGGGTAATAAATAAAAGATGTATTTGGATGAGATGAAATCAATTGAGCTTATGAGTGATTGAGTATTCTTCAAAGTTTACGTAACTCAATGACCACATATTTAATATCTTTTATTTCTATTATTATGCTATTAATTCCTTTTCCCATAATGACTTCCTATTTTTATCTTACAATCTGATTTGTTTTTTTCAAAATGTTTATCTTTATTTTAGAAATTTTACTAAAGAATTTATAGACAATAGTATTTTAATATTTCTATTTTAAAAGAAAAGCATTTAATTTAATATTCATTTTATAACGAATTTCTTCTAAATGATATACAAATATACAATTGCAAATTCAGTTATTCTGCGACAGGATACAACTGATTCATAGTGTATCCGCGTGAAATGGAACCTTCATTTATCATAGTAGTTACACAGCTTTGATAGAGACTTACATTAGGGATTGAGAAAGTGATGTAGAGATTGTTGGTGTATAACAGAAGCAGAGATTGAAAGGAAGTCGAAGACTTTAAATGAAAAAGAAAAGAAATGATTTGCCGCGAATAAAACATCTAATGTTTTTGTTGTGTAGTCGAAACTGTGGAGGGACGGTTGCCGGTGATTTCTGTTCTTTTTTTTTCATGTTTCAACTTGTAAACCTCATGCAGGTGCGTCTTCCACGTGCAAAAAAAAAAAGGATCATATCTGAAAGTGTACTGTTTAATTAGATAGATGTAAATATGATATGTGAAATATTGACAGGTTAATGATCGTTTTTCTAATCGATGCAGTTAAATCTTTTATTGTTCAATTTCCAGGTAGTATACTGATGATAGAGGAAAAAAGAAATGATTTGGATGATCTCATCAAATGGGTATGAAACGTTTTACTAATGGAATTTTGTTATAATTAAAATCTAGCTGAAATAAAACCAAAATACATTTTCAAGAAATTTGATATAATCATTCTGCAGTAGTATTCTTGCAACTTTCCATGTCTTTGAAGACTCTTGAAAAATACTGCTGGAAATCAAGTCAACACATGAAGCTTTATGATCGGAGTTTCAAAATTTTCTAGCAGAAAAACGACTAGACACTTATATTATTTAAAAATGAAGATTAAACATAACATTTAAATCGATAAGATTCGTTAAAAATTCCATATTTCTGTGCAGTACTTTCAAATTACTTTTGAGTAAGTTTTTATCCAACCATTATATGGTTAGATTTCTTTTTGAGCAAAAAATGCTTATTGTTATTCTATTCATTGAACATAATCTATCCAGTCCTGTAGTTCAAACTTCTTTTTAGATGAATTCATTGAATAATGAGAAGGAAATAACGTTGGTTGATATTTTTCCGGGTCGAACTATTGCGGAGGCTTTATATAAAATGTTCGTTTTTATCAAATCTTTCTCGAGCACATTCTGAATTATCTTAAATTTAAATACGTCGGATGGTTTTTTTGCTTTTGCAAAATTAAACTTCATATTTTCTTTTGAGAATATAATTGGTAGTGATGGTTTTGGAATATCATGATAGAATTCTCATCTCTAATTTCTTTATACTGTGGGTTTATGTGTTTATTCTGTCTTGATCATCCGTTATGAGATCTCATAACTTTTTTCTGGTGCTTTTTGTTATACATTGAAAAATATTCCAACAAATTAATGAGATTTGCAGTGGTAATATTACAAGTTCAAGGTCATCACAACTGAACTTTTCATGGATCTGTAAGAGAACAAAAAAATGATCTTATAAGTACGATTGGTTCACTTTTTTCTTTTCTCTGGGCTTTTTTTTAAGCTAGTTCTTCATTTCAAATCGAAAAATAACATCGTAGTGCTTTTTGAAAGATATTTTTACAATAATCATGGAGTTAATTTTTCAGTGATCCGTTATTTTTTAATGATAATTGGCTAAACACAATATCATGTTACGATCAAATGACTAACTGGAGATTGAAAGCAAATAATTTACGTAAAATTTACCGTCGGCTTTGGGAATATTACACAGATCAGTTGGGAGCTGAAATGACACAGGAATGGCATATTGACACATCACAGATAGGTAAGGTCAGAAGACTTGTTTATAGGCTATTTCTTAGCTTGTTAGTTTGTCTTAATTTGTTCACATTGGTAGTTCTTTTCATTCTGTTAATTGTAATTCAAGAAACTATGCTAAAGTCTTGGTGACATTTATTAATCTATTAATATAACTTCTGGTAATCGAAAGTAGGGATTTGCGTTTTTTGGAGGAAATTGGACTTTAAGAATTCATAATGAACAATTAGAAGCGTTACAATTATTTGTAATTACTTAAAAATATTACAGCTGAATGCGATGATTCAGAACTGCTATGTCGATTGTTGCAACTTGTCCTTGGAGTTGCTATGTTTTGTGCAAACAGTGAAAGTAATATTTTATATGACACTTTTTCTTTTTTTTATGTTACATTCTTTAAAAATGTTTTATATGCCATTTCGATCGTTCGATTGCTAAAATTCATAATTTTATTTCAGAATTTATACGTCCTTTACTAGATCAAAGCGAATCTGTACGATGGACGGCGATGAATGTTATGAATGAAATCAAAAAAATACTGCCGGAACGATCAAAAGAAAAAATGAAAACATCTGAGACATCGGTAATTTTTTAAATCTTATGACAAAGTATCACATACTTTTTTCTGACATATGCTCGTGAGAATATGTAACAGAGATTGCTATGAAATAAACAAATTCTTAAACTATGCTTTTAGACCCCTGAACCGGTGGAATCGAAGGAACAGGTGGTGGATTTGAAGAGTAAGGTTGAAAGCTTGGAGCAAGAATGCACACATCTGAACGAAAAGGTTCTATCTCTATCTAATTGTAGGAATATATATATATATATATGTTTATTCGAGATGTTTCCCTTTTCTTTTTTTCATGAATCAAATTAAGACTTTGATTCTAGTATAAAATGCTTTGCTTGGATACTTAAATAAAATCTTGGTATTATTTGAAAATATTTACAACTTTAAAGAAAGAATGTTACCAAATAATACTTAACTGATCACTTTTTTAGTTAAAAGAAGCATGCACCGAAAAGGAGGCACTTTCTAGCGATAATGAGAGTTTGCGTCTACGCGTTGATGAATTAAGCGAAGGATCTATTGAAATAGAGTCGTTGCGGAAACAAATTCGGTCATTGCGTTCCGTTCGTGAAAGCACACAGGATGCGCTTTACAAGTGATGTTTTTTTTTTTTTTTTTTTTGTTTTGCAAAAACTTTAAACGTATGAGGCACTTGTTAATGATATTATAATTTAAACGATTAACAATTTTATAACTTAAAAAGTTAGTCTCATTTACAGGATTGAAGCTGAA